AAAAGCACTCTCTGTGTTGTACAGCATGGTACAACACATTACAAGCTTACTTATGATTGTATTTAGACCAACATATATTGCAGGTGTGATGTTTCCTTTACTTTGCAGCCTTTTTAAAATAGCAAAGTATCATACTTCCTTTGGAAAAGCGGAATCGCCTACAGATCAGCCAGGGCTGAAACGAATGTGATTAAAGCTCTCTTCCTGAAGATATTAACACCAAATATTCCCTAAAGTGCTGACTGTGGAGCTCCACATTGCCATGAGGTGGTTTTGCTAAATTTAAATTTATATGCACTAAAATATTATAATTAAACTGAAACACTGGAAAAGCTCCATGTAACATATTTGGCAACAGTTCCATACAGGCTACTGGTCTGTGCAGTCCTGTGTTGATTTAGAGAAAGACTTTCTGTATGCACATATTCACATTAGTAGGTGGAGCAGAACAGGAATATGTATTGAAAATGCATGCCTAGGCACTAGGTTTTTGTTTCTAAACTGCAGGTTTTCCAGATAGATAAAATAGTCTAAAATGAATGTATTATGTTGTCATTAATTATGTGATGCAATCATACAGTTTGTGTTATAACAGCAAGGTATATTTTGAATATCCTTAAAAATGCAAACTTTGGAAGAGAATTTCCACAAGCCATGCCATGGATGCAGTGCTAAGCAGCATCCTCTTCTTGTTTGAAATACGGCTCAGACACACCCACTTGCACATAACTGTAGGTTGTATAAATATTTCTATTTCCTTATTGCTTTGTTTTGGCTATATGTGGATTTTTTCATTTTAGTTTTGTTATCCACATTAGTGTTACAGCTGAGATTTCCTGCCAAGAGTTTCTTTTGTAACTTTATATAAATAGAAAAGTAGCATACTTCCAGCAGAAGAGAACCCGTGTCAGTACGTGTCCCTGTACAGGCACAGAGGAAAAAGTAGTTTCTGACCTGCCAATCATGCCATGCATGCATTTACAGGAGGGAGCTGTGCAGGATGCAGAGGTTTAGGCAGTGCTGGGTGCTGCTCATAAGTGTGCTAACTGATGGGGGCTGCCAGAGGATTCGTTTTCGGGGGCTCCCCAGCCTGGACAGGCTGCAACTCCAAATAAAACTTAACTCAAAAGTAAATTTACTGGCTAGTATCTTTGCTCCTTCACACACAGACAAAACAAAAAACAACAAAAAAAAACTCAGCCCAAAGGCCTTCCCCTGACATCTGGTAGAAACATTGACATCTTCAGAGCTGAATACAGTGTGCCACCACCCTCCTGTCTGGGAGCAGCGATGCACTCTGTACAGACTTGAACATTTCCTGTCCAAAAGGGGCCATGGCTGCTTTGCCTGTTGTTAACAGGTACATATGTAATTACTGAAAAGGTGATACTGTGCAAGGCAAAGGGATTTTGGCTGGGAAGGATGTTCGTTCCCTTGAGGCTTTCTGGTGGGCCAATATGAGGCTGAGCCTTGTGAGGATATACAAGAAAGGAGGGAAGAAGAAAACTGGCAGTCTGGTCACAGTAGTAAAATTGCATGTCTAAATCCAGGATACAAGCCTGCACGTACGTATTGGCAGGCCTGCGTATGCTGAGCTGCAGCTTTTTCCCTATACAATCATCTCTGTGATTGCTCTTGGACCGAGAACTGTGCAGAGCTGGGACTGTATCCTGATAGCCAATCTTCCAGCTCTGTCAGAGCGCTGAAACAGCACAATAAATAATACATATGGATGTACTCTGATCAACTATAAAGCCCAGAGGAGACACATGTAATCAGTGGAAACCTTTACTAGTTGGTGGAAGGTTCTGACCTTCAGAAGGTTAGTGAAATCAAGTCTGCATGATGGGGGAGCAGACACATCTCCTGAGGCTTGCAGACACGGCTGGCCCCAGGGCAGGACTTGGCCTCAGCCTCTGTGCAGCACCACTGGACTTCTGGTGTTGGCCTCAGCAGCTGGGTCTCGGTCACTGGAGGCTGAGTGGCTGCCCAGGGCTGATGCTGAGGAACACCACCACCCTCGGGTACTCACCACTACAGCTTAACAGCCTTGGCCAAGTTATCTGCTAGTTTTGTGTTCCTGATAGTAAGCCCACTGGTTTATGTGCTAAGTGGATGGACAGTTACCAAGCTAAGGCTGGATATAGTTTCTAAACACATGTTTCTGTATATATGATATCTATATATTTATGAACTGTGGGATAACCTGTAGGTCCCATGACTGTCAAGAGGAATTTTAAATTAAAGGGAGTAGGATCTTACCTAAACTCTTCTGTGTGGTATGCTGTCTCCAAAAAAGCACCAGGGCCGAGCATTCAGACTCCTGCTGCGGGCTGGGCCTCAAGCAGCACACAAGCAGAGCATGGGGTGCATCCATGTGATGCATGAGGACTGTCTGCAAGCTGGGACAGAGGACAGGATGCAAATCTACAAGGTAACAGCACAGAAGTTGAGAAGTCCCTGAGAAATTTTCCTTCAGAAAATTGGTAGTCTGGATGGCCCCCTGCCAGGGAGGAAAAACCCTGGACTGCGTGCTCTTTGTATGAAATTGCAAATGGCTTTTATACTTTCTTCTGGCTTTGGCCCTTTTTAAAGAACATTCCCTTCACTGTATTCTTTCTCCTGTGGGGGATTACAGCCCAGTTCAGTGCTTTCAGTGCTCTTGAGCTTCCTCAATAAATATGGCACGTAGCTCTTCAGCTTCCTGCAAGCTTCACACATACAGTGTACTTCGAAGTGTCAGCCCCTGTCACAATTGCATGAAAAACTGTTTATGGGTATATAAATGAAAGAATCTAGTCGTCTTGTTTGAAAAGAAAAGCTTAACAGTATATGCATTCGATGTGTAATGTATCTTAAAGTCTAAAACTGCGGAAAGAAAATAAAAAGGATATTGGTTTTTTTTTTCCTAAAGTTCTCATGACTTCTGTGGCTTGTCTCATGATCTCTGTCTGCTTGGTGCTGACACTACCCTCCTTTCCACTCTCACACAGCTCCTTTTTCCATCTCCCTTGAGACAGAATGGGGATTTTCCATGTGGAGAAATGACAGTGTGGGTGAAGTGAGCTACCAGCCCTCTCCTTGCTCTTTCTTGTCCCTCGAAAGAGGAATTTCACCATGGGGCTGAGCCCTTCAGGGCTGCCATCCCCCACTTCTGCCCCACTGCACCCATCTGCGATAGACAGAGAGCCAGGCCAAAAAATACCAGATTTTCTTTCTGCTTTTTTTTTTTTTTTTTTTTTCCCCTGAGTGATCTTTAATTCAGATCTGTCCTCTGATCCAGCTGGTTGCACTGCCAGAGAAATACCCACAGCCCCAGGAAAATTCAAGGACAGGGTTGGGAGAGAGGGATGGGAGCCATGGGTCTGCTTCTGCCGGCAGCTGCCAAGATGCACGTGCATGAGAGCACATCCTGCTCGGGAGGCTGGAGCACCTCAGGCACTCGCTGCCTGAACTCAAGCCCCCAGACCTTGCAAAATGTGCTTTTTTATGCACTTGGTCAGCAGAAACTGTACAAAAGTTGTGAGATGGCCGATACTTGCTCATGTCAAAACAAAAACTGTTGTGCAGAACACAATACATTTCCTTTGAAACATACAGGAAAGTGATTTTAATTACTTCACCAATTCCATATGTATCTGGTTCCTTGGTTTTGATTCAAAGCTATTCTGCTTCTGTCCCACTCATTGATTCTAAACATCAAGAAAACTCTGGAGAGTAAACAAGGAAATCCTTGTGATCTTTCTTGTAATGTAACTTTCTTTCCTTTCTTCCAAAAGTAAAAAAAATGCAAATCTATTTTATCCATTTGATTTAGAAAAAGTAAAATAACTCAATGTACTAAGTACTCTATGTGCATTCATATTGACGTGCACTGTGCTATTTCTAAATACACTCATCAAGTCTAATCATCCTTCCAAAAATATATTTGTATTAATCAGTGCTTTACAGTACCCCTAAGCTTACTCTCTGTGATAAAGCAAATTAATACGGGACACTTTCTTTGCTGTCTCCCACAGGACTTTGATAAAATCAAGGAACCAATTTTTTCCTCTATTACGTGTCCAAAGACAATTTAAGGGAGTCTGGTCTTTTCTGAGAGTATTTTTACACTCGATGTTGTAGTTCCCTTTGCATTTGAATGACTTTAAAAACTAATTTTAAAACCGTAATTTGTAAACATGAATACATTCAAACAATTTAATTTGAAAATATAAGAAGTTGAAATAATTTAATTGCATGGTCAAGGTATAGGAAGGAAAAATTAACCTAGGGAGAGCAAAGGAAGAAGGACTAGCTGAAAGTCCTTCATTTAGCTGTCTCTCTGTTTCTATCATCTCCCTTAAATTATAGCGATATGTATGTGGCAAATCTGTAATACTGCAGATGCTAAACCCTGTGACTCGTGAACAGATCCTTATGATTCAGGTAGGGCAGGAACCTTATGGTGGGGACCTTTCCCAGCTCACAATGGCCCTTCAGAAAATGCACCTGTGTTTCTACCTGTGGAAGCAAGAGCCAGTGCTTGGTTAGTTTTTGACCTTGCACACTGTCAGTACACAGGCAGTGTCCCCAGCTGGGTGTAGGAGCTTGGCAGCTGTCAGGGCCCGCAGGTTAGCTGCATCCACACGTACTGCAGTGCTCGTAAAAATGCATTTTCTCACCATTTCACTATTCCTTGTTGCATAATGCAGAAACATTGGTATGATCCTAAGCCTGCGTGGCACTTATATAAGTGTATATAATGTGTACATGTATTACAAAAATTTGTTGTATTTATCTGACAACTGAAATGACTTCTATAAAGGAAAAAGTATACAAGGAATTTGGGTTCTGCAACCCTTTTCAGCATCACTTCACTTATCTTTCAGTGCAAAATTATCCTAAAGAAGTACACCTGGTTCTTGATGCATCCAGAGAAAGAAAAAGGAAAAGAAAAAGAAAAAAGAGGGAAAGGAAAGAGAAAGGGAAATAGAAAGAAGAGCAAGGGAAAGGGAATAAAAGGGTAAAGGAAAAGGGAGAGGAGCAGAAAAAAGGAAAAGGCTGGAGTCCTGAGAAGTTTATATTGCAGTACAAAGACTGGCTGGAGAAGGAGGGAGACACTGTGGGACATCCTTGAAACTTCAGTGATGTCCAGGTACAAAGATGGGGCTTTCACAATCTGTTGTCATTGTCAGGAACCACTTGGCTGAACTAGTATCTGAGACATGGAGACACTAAGGCAGGTGACTTTGTATCCAGCTTTCTGGTTTTCTTGTCGGCTATTCAGCTGCATTTGGGCATTTGCTTCCTAAGGGAAAACAAATGTCCAAAAGAAGGCTGCTGCTAACAGACCCAAGCAGCAGCTAGTACAGTGCTATTACACCTTATTTCCAAGATCATATAGTAAATGACTCTATTTTGGTTGCAAGTGACAGAAAACTCTGAATATGTGTTTCTGTGGAAAGAACAAACTTATTAGATGATCAAGGGAAGCTATAATAGAGAACTGATCAGGATAAACCTAGAAGAACAGTGTAAACCCATTAAGCTGGTAATTGCCTATGCATGATAACCTTATTTTATCTACTACACTTCTCTTGTAGAAATACTAACACAGCACTATAAAATTTAGGGCTTCTTTTCATGTCTGCCACATCCCAGGGGACCTCAGCCTGAAATACTGCTCCAAGGGATGCAGCACATAATCAGTCCCTTTGAAACAGTTTCAGTAATGCTGAATCCATACAAGTGCGGATGCCAATTATGCTAATGAAACTGCAGTGGGACTGCATTTTCAGCCATCTTCTAACAGTGCTGTAAAAGTAACATCACAGTCAGCAACTAAATTTGTGTAGCACATGACTAGATAGAGGCTGTTCTGAAACTTAGCGTGTGGTGGAAGTGAAGCCAAATGTTCACACAACCTAAGTATGCTACTGAAAGCAACAAGTATCCAAAGCAGCTCTGGGAATTTTTTGCTATATTCTCTTTCCCATTTTGAGAAGCATCTCCATCTCCAGAAGATGCAAGGCTAATGCAGGCAGTGTCTGTGACTGCCTTGTCTATGGCGCCTTCCTGCCTTGCAAGGCAGTGCTCCATACTGAGCATGAGGCAATTGATGTGTGTTAGATTTTGGCTGTTTTAGCCAGCGTATGGCACTGGGAAACACACTGTGCCAGCAAAAGTTAGAGATGCCCCTGCACAGAATAAAGGCACACCTTTAGCATCTTGTCTTCCTTTCCTTTTTGGGACAAATAAGGTCAGAAGTATGGCGCTGACTCCTTGGCTAGGCACTGCTTTGGGCTCAGGTAGGACCAGTCATGGGGCTTCTCTTTTCCTCACTTGTGTCCAGTCACACAGGGACTCCTGTGGCAAGGACAACCCCTCATCCCAGGTGAAAGTGGAGGTTTCACAGACCACACATTAAAATATCCCCTTTAAATGCCCTTTGACTAGAAGCAGTGCATACTTTCAACAGGCATATCTCCAAAGTAAATACCTCAGTCAGGAGGCCAAGGAGCTTAAGGACTTAAATTTCAAAAAGTAGCATGTGGCTTCCATGCTTTACCTTATACCATCATTTAGATTCAGGTTTGCATACTAAATGGACAATACGAATTCTTGTGTAACTGGAATACATACATGCTTGCTTAGAGTTCAGAATTTATCCATCAACCCAATAGAAATGTCTTGACAGCCTGGTAATGTTATAATCATCCTTGTAGTGCATCACAGGCCAAGAATAGCAAAACAACTTATGTGAACAACACCAGTATAGCTACTATAAAGTCTTGCTGAGGACACCTTTAGGGTGTGGTGTGAGTGATGAATATAGGCCATGAGAAGACATAGAAAGGAACATGGATTCATCAGGAGTAAAAGTTTTCTCCCATGATTAATAAGGAAAAGAGAAAACAACAATGCTAACTTGATCAGTCTTCACATCTACTATTTCTTGCATTAGCATGCAGAGGAGTGGAAAATCTTCCTTCACTAGGTTTTTCCACACTAAATCCTATGGGATCATTACACAGAAGTAGTACACTGAAGTTCCTGGACTTCAGTACTTCAGCAGCCCTTGCTCAGTTCTTCTTGCACGCTTATCACAGATATCGCAGATATCAGAAGCCGATGGAAACAGCTTTGAAATCACCACTGCTGCAAATGCATTTTTCTTCAACTGATGACCATGACAATCGCAATCAACAATTTTTTTGTAAAATGAATAAAAATATACAGGTGTTAACCTTTTGTTTGGTTTATAAAACAATAATGTATTGTCATGTTTTCCCATCTTGACAGATGTGTTTGATGAGAAGTCTTGCTAACCCACTAATTCCATGGTATGTGATGGATGCTTAGAATTAACATTGTAGTTAATGGCTGTCAGCCTTCCTATAGATAGACTCAATCATAGAATTGAGTCTATTTACTATGCCTGTGAATCTATGCTGATTTTCTTCCTTTATTTCACAGGGCACTGGTTCAAGAGCAAAAGCAACCTCCAGTTGGGGTGGTCCCTGAACCACCTGCTCTGCCCCATTGCACAGGCTGCTGAGCTACTTGTGAAGCTGTTCCTAAAATGCTGCTATTTACAACTTTACATATCATACAAGTGTCAAAATGAGGTAAAAGTATTCATCTTGTCAGGTGTCCTGCTGTTTTCTATGTCTTTTCTTGAGTCAGAGCCTAGAGATGTGCCATGTTATTTGATTAGTAGGCTGCTCAGATGCTCCAAACACAAAGTACTTCCCAAAATAAAGCTTCCAGATACTGACATCACCACATTATATTTTCACATTTTCAAGGTCCAGAAAAAAGAAAATATTAACCATACTTAACGATTTGCTTGATTTTTTCTACATTAGTATTGCTTCTTACATACAGCTCTATCCTAATCCTAAAAACAATTTGTTTAGAAAAGCACAGGTGGTGTTGCCTCTGACTCCATAGCAAAGGGATGAGCAGATGTCAGTACCTGAGGAGTGCTCAAAAGGAAATTCTTCATTTTGGAGAAGAGGAGTAAGAACATGGCATAACACGGTAGAGCCTTTCTTTTGCATTTTTCTGTAGGTTTCAGCTTCCCTTCCTAAACCGTCAAAGGGCACAAGATACAGTGTGAGAGTTTGCACTAAATGGCTAATGGATGAGAAGTGCTACAATGCTCACATTTCTAAGAATTGTGTTGCTTCTACGTGTAATCTGACCTATTTGTAGGAAGTTTTGAGATACACACATTGGATAAAATGCCCTCAGAATGAATGCATAAGTCATATCTGGAGTTGCAAATATGCACACCAAGAATGCAGAAATATACAGGTGGGAAGGTGGAACAAAGCTGGATATAAAACTCAACAATTTTAAGTAATTTGCCAATACCACGTTGTGTTCGAAGCTTGGGCATGTTTCATCATTCCTTGCTTGCTACTCGCTGCTGCCACCACGTGTTACTGCAAATTCTTCCTGAAGTGATAATGCCCCTCGAAACAGAAAGGTGCGCTGCTGTGGCTGGGAAGGACCTGAAAACTGGGTAAGAGCCCCCTGTAAACAAAAATGTTGTATTTAGCATTGAGGAGTCATGCTATTTGATCAAAACAGACACTATGGCTATGCATTGGGAAGGGTCAGAATACCGCAGCTATGTACACTGACATCCTCTCTCTCTCATCCATGCCTTCCTCTTTCACTTGGATCTTTTGTCATTCTTTTAGGAAACTGCAGATATGTTGGGCTGTTTTCAAGTAGTGTTGGGACTGACTTTCCATTTCATTGTGAAGTAGCTGCCTCAAAGTGGCCAGAAATACAAGAACGAATAAATGTAGACAGCATGCAGGAAGCAGTTTCTTCCTAATTCTACTAATCTGGTAGTGTGCCTGTTCCCTAAGAAAAGAAAGCCAGTCTTCCAATTTGGGATTGTTAAGACTAATTGTGGAATTTTTTGTCAGTACGCATGACTAATTAAGAGATTATTAACATTTGCCATGTTTCCATGATATTAAATATGGGCAATTTGCACCAGTGTCATTATACACTGTACTAAAACAACTGAGGGTCTGGACCCATCAGAACAGCAAATTCTTATAGGGCTAATCTTGCCCCAGGACTACTAGAATCTCTGCTTTATTTATTTCCTTTTAGATAATAGTTTAAGAATGACATTTAAGTGACAATATGTCGATAGCTAATCACAAGCTTACAGGATATCATTTCAATGGGCTATCTTGACATGAGAGTAAAGGTTCATTCAGCAGATTGCTGATTTATGGTCCTGCTCAGGAAACGCGGAGCATATGTATGACTTAGCTGCTCTCTTTTCTCTCTTCTGAAATTCTAGGTATAGATGTGGTGTTACTAGTTCCCACTTTGTTTAATGTGTTATCAACATATTTTCCTGAGCCAAGGATAGATTTCAGAGTTCAGCTTAGCACACAAAAACAAGTTAGTTTCCAGCTTTGGTAACTGAGGGATTCCAAAGAATTTTCTTAGGATAATTCCATTTCCAGTAATGTGGAAGATGTACATTAAATCACACAACATTTAGGCCACTTGTTTTCTCTAAGGGAATGTTTATATGTGTGACATCGCTGAAAGTTTGTCTGAAATGAGTGGTCCTCTACACGCACATGCTTACTATCAAACATGTGCTTAGAGACCTTGCTGAGAAATGGGAGGGAGGTAATGCCAGAAGGGGCCTTGACAAAGATGTGAGAAAATGGGAAATACACAGATATGAGGGCAATTTTGCTTTGCATAGAATTTGACCTATTTAGGAATTACTTCTGCTTTTACACAATTTTATTTCCAGTGTGTACAAGGGAGATTTTGAGAAAACAGAAACAGTGTCTTCACAGCATTTTCACAGTAGTGCAAGGCAAGAGAACAAGAGAAAACAGACATGCCTTCAAAGATAAGAAATTCTGACTAGATAAATGGAAACAGCATGAGGGCCATCAAGAATGGAAAGACGCTGCCCAAAGAAGGTATGCAATCTTTGTCCTCAGAGGTTTTCAGAAGCTACTGGATAAAGCCCTGAGCACTGAGCTGACTTTGGGAAAAGCTCTCCTGGAGTCTTTTGCCACCTGAGTTTCCCTATGGTGGTATTTAGTCCATCAGCTGTGGGTTAAAATGACAGCAAAAGCAGATTTACATTCAGCCAAAAATTAATCTGGTTACAGAACCCAGAGATTGTGTACAACTTTAGCAGTGTTAGAAAGTAACCATCATACATAAATGTCAAAGCCAGTATTTTAATCAATAAAGCAGGTTGAAGTAGGTAGTGTGTATTTTCAAGTGTCAATTTTCAAAGAAACATTAAAAAATGTGGACTCACATTTTATCCAGTGGTGAAGAAACACTTTTATTTATGGGAGAGCAGAAGCTCTGTCATGATTTGATGTCAGTGTAAAGCTGACTACTGAAAAACTATGGAAAGCACAAGGCCATCTCTGCAATTGGACTTTGGTCCCCGCAATGGAATCAAGTTCATCATTTTGAGCCTAAAGTTTTCCACTGCCAACCCTCCTTGATATGACATGCTTTTCATACATGTCCCAATTTGGAGCCTGTTAGCAGACATCAAGAAGTCTGTTCCAAGCTGTCTCCAATATTAAATAATTAATATTCCATTTTCTTCTGTTTTTTTCTTCTATTTTCACCTCATCATTAAATAGTTCTTTACAACATACTTTCCTATTGCTTATTGCCCAACTACTGCCATTAGTGAAGCAAAAAGAGGAGAGCAAACACCAGAGGTGTCCCATCTTCAGAAAAATGAGACTCTTTGATTTCAATTCTGTATGAGTGACAGTAAACCACTACTCTCAACTGATGGAGTCACTCCTTTTTCTACTTAAGAGATAAGTTGGAGAATTAATTCTTCAGTTTCATGCTATTGTCTCTGACTCTTGGTTAAGGTTGTGTGTCATTACTATGATGCTACGATGACATATATTATTTTGTGGTTGTCAGAGGTAAATGCTCATGGCTCCTCTCATTTACTTCAAAGCTAATGTGAGTGTCCTGAATGCTCTATAATCTTGAAACAACCAGTGTTGCCTTGTTGGAGCTGACTACTGCACCTAACAGCAAACAGAGAAGAGAAATAAAATATGTGTTTTGAAAGATGTGAAGGGATTCACGTAAGTTTAGAATGATAAATAAAGGCAACACTTCTTTAACAGAATAATCCATATGAGACTTTCCTACCGAGTACAAAAGGATCTACATCAGCTACCTCCAGGGAAAGTCTAAAAAGTATTGTAAATGATGTAGGCAGTCATTAAATATGACCTTTGTTCTTGGCAGCAGCACAAGGAAAGCAAGAAATAATTAAGCAAGCGATTGTTGAAAGCACTACTGACCAATTTCAACACTGAGTTTGTTTTCTGCTGTGAGATATTTTTGCCTCTTGTTTCATTTTCCCATGTTGAAAGCAAGACACCAATTTCATTTTAGCGTCTACAAATCTAGTTATGATAATTAGCGTTATACATTTAGAATTGGCATGAGTTATTTTCATAACATACTACAGCATCCAGCACTACTGTTTATCTTTTTATGTTTCTGGGTTATGAATTTTTAAGTAATTCTCTGGAAACTGCCAAGTAAGGAACAGGGTATTGCAGAGTTCTGGAAAAATGGCACAACAGGTCATATATTCCTTCAAGGCATAATAAATGAATAAGAAACTTCTTTTAGTTCTTTGCCCCTTTCTCTCACTGAATAGAAGGAAAACAGTTTAACTGCTCAAGTGGTTACAGTGAGCATCAGCTGTGACTACAAATTTCCAAGAAATCTTCCCAAAATGCCTAGGTACTTAGCTACCAAACTCCTCTCGATTGTCACAAAATAGGGCAGTTCAGTATGCAGACGATAGGAATTAGTTTAAGGAGAAAATGTAAAAGGTAGTTAGTAGTTCTGGGGATCAGATAATCATAATCATAGAATTTTAGAGGCAACTTTGTAGGAGATTTGTTAAAATTCCAAACTTCCAAACCCTGTTCCAGTTTCCACCTGTGTTCCAGTACAGAAGTCACAACATAAGCTGCTCACAAGGCTGTGCAGTACAGAGACTACAGGCCTCCTCCCCTGTATCGCCCCAGGCCAAGGTTGGGCAGAACTTCCAACCATCACTTAGAATAGAAGAAAAGAAGAGGTAGTCAATAGATAACTTTTGAAGAATCTGCTGACAACAGAGAATGAACAGGACATCCAAAAGACGGAGTGCCATGAAACAAAGCTAGGAAGATGAACTGATAAGCTCACAACCTTTGACCCATATAAAGAGAGAATCAAAAGGAATGAACCCTGGGAAAGACTGAGGGGAGGGGGGAAAAGAGGATGAGTTCACCTGATATGAAATAATGGTTAAAATGGTATATGTATCCGTAGAACATCTGAGTTCAGGGCTCTCCCTGTGATGTAGTAGCCCAGCATATATGATGATGATGATTTGTATAAAGCAAGAACCTAAGGTACTTGTCAGACTCTCTGGCAGTCTTTAACACAGTACTTGGAGAATTACTGCCATCAAACTAAGCAACAGGTATCATTTCCATTCAAAATCTGTCACAAGTTGAATAGAAATCTGCAGTGTCATGAAGTCTTGAAAAAGTCACCCGTTCTCGAGTACTGTGGGCGCAGACCAAGAAGGGCATGGACCTGCTGGAGATAGATAGAATGAGAGCAGCAAATCCTACTATGTTGTCAGATGCTGTGTTTTGTTTGCACAGCTTATAAGGAATGGAGTAATCTTGTCAAGCAAGTAGAAGTCTAGGGGGTTTGAGATGCCTCTTGAAATATGTAAATGGTTAGAGGAGAGGAATGAACTACTTATTGGAGTCCTCCTGTAGAGAGGATGAGAATTAAAGGGCTTCAAAAGCAACAAGGAAGATTCAGGTTAAACATTAGGTGAAAAGAAGTTTAACAGTAAGGACTAATGAGGACAGAACTAGATGGCCTGGAGGAGCTGTGTGCTTAGCACCACAGTGAAGCCTTAACATCGGCCAGCTGTGGGATAGGTCTGGCTCTGCCATGAAGAGAAAGGATAGACAAGACGAGCTCCCACCTAGCCCTGTTTGCTGTGGTTCTGTGATTCATCATGCTGGAAAGCCTTTCTGCAATTAGTGCAGCCAGCAACATTAATTCCAATATCAAAGCCATTCTATTAATGGGATATGGGAGCGCATGTGGACAGAAATTCTGAGGAGTGGAGCATCTCATCCATCATTTTATTCTTTTTTTTTTTTTTCTGATATATATTATTGTACAGAAATTTGTTAATTATCTAGAGCCCTGTTAGTAGAAAGCATCTGTTTTATTTTAATGTTTTGAAGGATCGAGGCTGGATGCTCAGCAGTATCTTAATCTCTGTGGCTTAAAGGATCGCTGAGAGGTTAGTTTATGCCAATAAAATTAGGGCCTTTTTTTTTTATGATAACATTAAGAGAACCATTTTTATAAACCTTTAAATAATGAATGATTTTTCCTCCATTATTTCACAATGTGTAGCCATAAATAACCTGTTGTTACGCTAGTCACAT